GCATCTGCATCAGGCATCACACTCTATTTCTAGTCAAGAGTAGTTCAGTTTAGCGTTTGTAATGTCTCTATCCAGATATTGTTCAGCATCAAAATAATACCAGGATTTGTTCCTTGTATTCCGCCTCTAGGCAGAGATATACAATAGAAGTAACAACTTACAGTGCCATATTTCTATTCACTTTCACTACATAGTATTGCAGGGTTCAAAATTTCAAGTCCTGAGCTACTAGCCAGGCCTTAAGAGTTACTCGCCACTAGTTGTCCCACTTAAACCCTACCTTGCTCCAGCCTTAACTCTGCCAGGCCAGCGGTGTGACGCAAAGTACAGAGATCAGTAACAACACAGAGTGCAGAGGTCAGTGGTGTAATGCTGAGTACAGAGGCCAGCGATGTGACGCACAGTATCGAGGTCAACAGTACAGAGGTCAGTAATGTAACGCACAGTACAGAGGTCAGCAGTACAAAGGTCAGTACTGTAACGCACAGTACAGAGGTCAGCAGTACAAAGGTCAGTAATGCACAGTACAGAGGTCAGTAATGTAACGCGGATTGCAGAAAGAACAGGGACTTACAGTGCACAGTTGATCTGAATCAGGTGCTCTCTCCTGGTAGTGGTGGGAGGGTGCAGGATGTTGCCTCCATGTAACAAGGTGAAGCCACCAGCAGCCTCGTTGAGCGTCCCTTCAGGTCCTGTGCTGCAGAAATGTACAGAGGTCAGTGGTGTAATGCACAGTACAGAGATCAGTGGTGTAACGCAAGTGGTGTGATGCACAGTACAGAGGCCAGCAGTGTGACGCACAGTACAGAGGTCAGTATTATAACGCACAGTACAGAAGGTCAGCAGTACAGAGGTCAGTAATGTAACACACAGTACAGAGGTCAGTAATGTACAGTACAGATGTTCATTAGTATAGAGGTCAGTAATGGAACGCCCATTATAGAGGTCAGCAGTCCAGAGGTCAATAATGGAACGCACAGTACAGTGGTCAGTAATGGAACGCACAGTACAGTAACCCTTTGTATAAATAGAGGAAACTTTGAATATAATTGTCCTAAAATATAATTAAAGTATACTACAAAATGTAACTTAGTTGATGAATGGAATGTTTATAAATTAATAAGTCCTTTTAAAAGGCAATTTTCTGCTTTCTTACAGATTATTTGAATGTCACTGTTTATAATACAATTTTTACTGAACCATATATAACATTACCAGTTAGTATTCATAGGTAAAACTACAAACTGTCAGTCCTGATTGCTTGGTTTTGGCTGTTCTTTGATTTGTAATGAAATCATCATGTTCTGAAGTTTACGTAGGCTTGGAGCTGTGACTGTGAGAAGCTGTCACGTCTCGCTTCAATTGACCTGGCAGCAGCTACTAGTGACCTGACTGCATTACTTGCCAGCAAAGCAGGGCCCGCAATGTGGTGTTTATGTATGACAAAGCTGTAAATGTAATATCGGATGTATTAATAGCACGCTCCGCACATTGCATTCTGTGATTAAACAGATTCCTGTTATTTCACAGCACAAATACAGATACATCATTAGAAAATGTGATGGCACCTTCTTTGTATTCATTAAATGCAGAATAATTTGACTATTGTGACTTGATACAATAAATGTAATATAAAATAGATATCTCTTTTCAGATTTTATGTGACAGTTCCTAGTCAAGTATCGTTGCTTTAAATAATTCAATTCATACAAGAAACCAGACGAAGTTGCCAATGTACACTTTTTTTTACTGCCATAAACTATATGTAGATTTGAACAGGATTTATATAGCGCCAACAGTTTGCGCAGCGCTTTACAATATAGGGAAGAGGCCCTGCCCATGAGGGCTTACAATCTAAAATGGAGGGGCAAGCGATACAGGAGGAGGTAGCTGTGTGGGGATGAATTGTTTGAGAAAGTGATAGTTCAGTGGTCAGGTTGAAGTTGGATAAGCTTCCCTGAAGAGATGAGTCTTAAGGGATCACCTAAAGGCAGTCAGAGTGGGAGATAGACGGACAGGTTGGGGTCCGATCACTTTGCATTGCTTTTATTAATGCCACATGTGTTAGTTTGCTTTTGTTGTAGGTCATCAGGTTTTAGTTTTGCTTTACTGTTCCATGTTTGTTATAAAATGTATTGAAAATTGGCAAACCAGGGAGCATGTACTCTTTCCACTAAAACTCAAACCTATATTCAATACCACAACTTCCTCACCTTGTCAATTTATATTCCCAATGGATTGCATGTATCCTCTGTACCTTCATATCATTTAGTTGTCTTCAGATACAATATATAGCTCCACCAGTAAATAATAAAGATAAATTAGTCTAGGTGCCATCATACTACTTTCGCTAGAGTCAGCCTGCAGAAGAACGTAACGCTCATTTCTGACAGAAACCTGGCTGCACATGGGGGAAGATCTGATTGGCCACATCATTAGCAGGGGGAGTTGCTAGTGGGAGAGTTGAAGGGTTTAACGTTTGACTTTGCTCACAGCCAAAAGTTATACTAGATTTTCATAGTGTCTTGTAAAGCACACTGGCATTGGAAGAAAAAAACAGACGTGTGTTTAGTAGGCTCTCATTGTACTCTGATATGATATATGATCAGCTCTACTCTTTTGGACTGAATACAAGCACACTTTAAAAACACATTCTTGAACTCCTCTTGGTGACCTGCAGGTTTCCCACCTCTGCATTATCTGCCAGTTTTTTCTTGACAAACCATGGAGAGACCGCTTATGTGTCTGCCATGAGCGCTTGAGCGAGCGAATGTAATTGTGATTAGTGAAGATCTTTAAAACGAAATTTCAGGATTTAGCACCTGACTCCATCCACCCCTTGAAGCTCCCCTTATCTGGTATTTTTATTTTTAAAAAACCCATATACATACCCTTTTACTACAGTCTTGTACACAGTCCAGTGATGTCATGGCAGCTTCTTCTTCCTCCTCTGGTGGCCATTCTTTCTGGACTGAGCAGCATTCACATAATGACATCTGAGCACCCCTCAGTCCTGGAGTACTGTGAGCCCAACCTGTGTGATGATGCCCCTCTAGGGGGCGTGTTAAGGACAGGCTGGGCTTCCAGAAATAGGCAGAAAGACATGACTGTCATTTTACCCAAAGAGAACCGGCAGCACTGGACAAAGGAATAAGTCAATGACAGCACTGGAGCATGGACAGGGTAAGTAGAGATTGGGTTTTTCTAGGGGGCGGGGGAATATGTTGGAGTTTTCCCTTAAATCATAGCGCATAGTCTTGATGGGCTGTCTTAGTTCCAGTTCACATATCTGCTAAAATTATTAAACCCTGACTCCATGCAAACAGCTAAATACAGAGCTGTAATACGCATATTCACAACTAAATATATCTTCTTATCTAAGTACCCCTGCTAGAAAACATAGCTAAGGGCAATGACTTCAGTTGATGTTAACAGAGGAATATTGGGAAAATAAAATATACTCTTCCCAATACTTAGTTGCATGGGACTCTGCAGTAGCCCACTTGCTGCTGGCTTTGGGTCACAGGAGTATATTAGTAAATGTGCTCCTTTGACCCAAAAGAGAAGTAAAGCCAAAAGAAAGGTTTTAAGCAGTATTGTCCATTTTCAGACTCCTTTTTGGTCAATTAAAGGGAACATGAGGATTCTGCACACTTTCTTCTCTCCTAATGTAAGCAAGTTCTCATTGTCAAGTTGACAGCAGTGTGCAATGCATTAGGGTCTGATTGGCTCATAGTGCTGATTTCCTTCTCCCAGTTTAAGTCATATACTGCATGGGATAACAGAAAGTTAATGTAAAGAAGTTCAGATAGAAAGCACTAATCACGTCTACCTAGTAAAGGTGCACCAAAATTTACTTGGTTTGGGCCCCTTTTGCAGCACTTACTGCAATTACTTTTGCACGATATTCTAATTATTGGAGTTTCACCACGTGTGTGTGTGTGTGTGTGTGTATATATATATATATATAAACTTTTTAGTTTTGTATGTGTTATTTTTATTTATTATTCATTTATTTTTATTAAATAATTTTATTTTTTAACTTTACTGCTGGGGGCTTCGGTGAAATATCAGGGGTCTAAACAGATTCCTGATATTTCTCTTTTAAAATGGGAAAAGAGATTGAGGACAGAGTCCACAATCTCTTTTTCTGCATCCCCTGTTATAAATGAACAGGAATCCTCTATACTATGTGTTCCTGTTCATTCATACATGTGGATATAGTATGAGTTGCTATGTACATAATTATAAATGAACAGGAAGTGATGTAGGTGACTTCCTTTTTATTCATAACTGGTACCTAGTAACTCACACTATGTCCAGTTATTACAAACAGTCAGCGTTCACTGATCGCTGACTGCTTGTATCGCTCTCCATCCTGACTCACTGTCACAGCTGAGCCGGCGGGTGTGCGGAGGAGAGCGTGGTCTCCTGTGAAAGCTGACTCCTCCCCCCGCACCCCCGGCTCTGTCTCCAGTGACAGCTGTCTCTGCCCACACACCGCTCTCCTGATCTGTGCAGGAGGCTGAGCGGGGCAGTGCGGGAGGAGAGCTCACCCTCCTGTGACACGCTCACAGCGCTCCACGCCCCTCTCAGCTCCTGACAGTTTCTCTCCTTCCTGCTGGATGCTGCCCTGTGTCAGAGGGGCACAGAGCAGTGTCCAGTGGGGAGGAGAAAAAGTATGGATGCACTGCAATTTCAGCCGAAAGATGTCACTTTCGGTATTTTGCCAAAAGTACCAGTATCGGCTGCCGAAATTTGGGTGCAACCCTACTATGTAGGTAATAGAACCACAATGCAATTTCATTAGAGTCCGAAAGTTGTTTCTCACAGATTGTGCCTGGTAGATTCAATTAAATATTATAATTGAATTATAAGAAAAATATATGATTTGATTGAATTCCACTATTTAACTTGTTTGAATAATTTTGCTTCAATTCACCTAGAAATAATATTGATAGTATTGATTGTCATTTCTTTCTTGTTTTTGCACAGAAATATTTATGATCCGTGAGGTTTGGTCTTTCATCTACACCGCCACTGATGATACATATAAAATATTGGTCTTGCTGCCATGCGTCTCCAGCTTGGCTGAATGAAAGCCTGAAGACTTTTGAGCAGCCTTGAATATACAACCTCTGCTCTGCAAACAAGTTTGTTTTGTGAAAAATTATCTCCAGAGGTATTTAAAGGGAATATACAGCGCTTTGTGTACATTTTCTATATTTATTTATGTTCACGACTATAAAACTAACATTTTAAACTATTTCTTTGTCTCTTAGGCTATACAAAAAATGTATATGAGTATACGTATCTATCAGTCTAAGATAATTATGAATCCTATTAAAATTGAGGAACTCTAACATAAAATAAACACATAACTGGTATTAACTGTACATCTTTGTGATTTATCCTTCATGGCAGACCAAAGCTAACCATAGATATTAGATAAGGATCCAATCAAATCTGACCCCTGCACACAGTCATGTAGGCTATTATCGCACAAGCAGAACATTCTTATGCCTTAGACCTCTTGGCTAAGGGTGTTTATTTCAGGTTGAAGGTGCCCATAGATAATTCAACTGTCGTCTGTTTTCCTGCTGAAATCTGCAGAATCATGTGTCAGTCTTCTAATAATGACATGTATCTCAACATCTGTCTAAACAGAAGCATTGACAGTCACAGAACTTCATTATTTTAGGTTAGCAAATAGAATCTAA